TCGTATTTACGCCCCAATTAAGCAGCTCCTGCTTCCGATGCACAGCTAACCCACATCCCCAAATCATCGGTGAACGAAGCTGCGGCAGCTACAACCACTGTACGACAAGTACGAGGTTATTACAGCTGATAGTGATGATGATGAACCCATGCTTCCCTCGGGTTGCATGCCACCACAAACGGAGACCTATTATTGTCTATTTATCAGTACCCTTTCTCCGGTTCACATGAGATCGCACTGATGGCTAACCTCCTAAACAATGCTACGGCCCAGTCAAAACGTAGACGCCTTAAGCAGACCTGTTCAGGCCTTCTTTAGAAGCACGAAATCAGGGTCTACAGACAAGACAAACCCACTTCTGGTGATGCCTCAAACTGTGAATCCCATCAAGAGCGTTAACCTAGGTCACAAATGACTAGCGGACATTATACATGGTGGAAAAATGAAATTATTTTCAACTTGAGTTCAATACTTATCTGTCATGAGGTAAGGAAACACGAGGATTATTAATCTCGTGAGCGCAGAAGGCCGAAGTCAGAGTGAACCAAGAAGAAAGACAAGTCTCTGTGAGCAGTTTCGTGCGAGATTACCAGGCAAATGAATCGTCGTCTGGTTTCCAATGATGCAAATCTTGGGGAACAGAAAAGTTGTCCCTAGGAAGTACTGATTATCATAGAGTTACCTTACAAGAGTGAGTGCAATGAAAAAAAAGATGGACGAAATACACTGAATAAAAACTACCAACGAGACAATTGCATCCAAATGCAAGTGAATTAAAATTCACATAATCCGCTTCTTCCACAGGTCGAACGAGACGTCATCCATCGATCTCAGCATTCTTACCACTCTCCCGGGCTCGGCCGAAAGAGCGACTCCTGTATGAATCGGACAGTGGAAGTTCATCCCCTTCTGGAATCAAACTGAGGCGGTTGACAGCTGCACCGGAAATTTGTCAGACGAGGACGATGCCAAAGTGGGACGCGAAGTGACTCGACAGCCGGTTTTTTTGAAAATGTTTTTCACAAAAGGTTATGAGTTATCAAAATGCTTTGATAACACGACCTACTTTTTAGCCGGCGTGACAACGGTATCATGAAGGTTCTGAACATCAAGCAGCAGTGGATCCCCAATCTCGATGCATCCACTGAGACAGGCGGGAAGAATACCTGAACGGTTCACTCTCAGGAAGAGGTTAAGTGCTCTCTATTGGATACAACCATTGATTTCATAAGGGAAACCACTAACAGGGTTCCTGAAAACCCTTAGATATTGTGAGTGGTTTCCTTTATGAAAGTATACTGCGATATCTCGAATACCGTAACAACTGAAACATGAGATTGACTGTGTGCAGCACATTCAGTTGAACATCATAAATGATATATTCACTTGAATCTCCTTTGGAAACCAAATAGATTTGCAAATTGGTGCATGTGTAACAATCGATTTCTTTGTAGTGTGGTCGACCTAGGAGGAATCATTGTTTCTGAATTTGGAGTCCCTTCAGGATCTCATGGTCATGAGATTTCGGCATTCTTTCCTTTTTAAAAAGTCAACCCTCCTTCAGTTAGACGCAGCTGAAATAAGTGGTCGGGAAAGCACTTGCTTATTGCTCTGGTAATCTGACATGACGGATGGTTAACGCCATGCCCTAATCACAGACGAGGACTGTTTCTCTTCTGATAAGCTGCAGCGTGCCCAGAAAAGCCAAACGTCTGAGGGTTTTCATCATGAGTAAAAATGAGTCAGCAACCCTGTGAGTAGTATGCTACGTCTAGACAATGCACTGCGATATCTCGAACATGTTGCAACTGAAACGTGGGGCGGCCTTGTGTAGGGCATTCGGTTGAAAGACATCCTGAACGAGATTCAGCATGGTCCTGTGTGAGCCTCCCCCCCGTCAGCACTAAGTAGGAATGCAGATACGTGTAGTTGTCGTAGTCAATTTCCCATTTCGTGAGAAAATAGACCACAGTTACTTCCACGGAGTTCAACTCTGAGCCAAGCCAAACTTCACTCGTTTGATCCACGCCTGTCAGGTTCACAAATCAGCAAGGCTACCCAACCGGGGCTGGGAGTTACCGACTCGACTGCTTCCGGACAGGAGATATCATACTCATTCACCGTAGGGCCGATTGTATCCTGTACCCGTCTGGACCGCATATCAAATGAAGGCCTATATACCACTCCAAACACCTGTATAGACACGGTAACGCAAAGTGAAAGCGGTCACTACTAATCGGAAAGCGACGGGATCATCGCGTCTTCCTACGTGAGGTCCGCCTGATGAGTGCGGCCGGGAACTGAACCACTTATGGTGGTTGTCACATTTTAAGGGGACTAACTAGTCAACGCCAGTCTGTCGTTGCATGCTGGGCTTGTGTCGAATCAATACCAAGTGATGGCGTCTCACACCAATTTGATGTTCAGGCCTGTTTTCAGTGGTTTTGAAGTGTGCAAGCAACTCGAACTCGACAGTTTTCTGCAACAAGTCATCATCCCCCCTTTGTTTAGACCTCCTTAATGGACGCATGGCAATATTGCTGTCGATGACAATGACTAGCTTTGAAACCCAACTGAGCGTCGCACCATTAATGAGCCTGTGTTTCCGACAGAAGGTCCGTTCCTACCTTATGCACGCAGATGTGATATCTCTTACTCGACTCGGCTGTAAGCCTCCAAACCGAACAGATTAGTAGAACAAGCGAATGTATTCCAGAACAATACGTTTGCGTTGGGTTACAAACACTGCGTTTCTAATCGATGACAAATTGTGAGTATGTCTTCAAACAGCATAAGAGACACAGTAAGATCCGACCACGCATGAATACATATATCAGTTGCATAAAGTTCATTGGGTATCACAAGGTACAGGGAACGTGCTGCAAGGGCTTGCACACACACTGAACTCTGTCATCCACTCGATCCGGGTCATTGAGTCTTGGATTCATCACCTGTCGCAGTGGAAGGGGCAAGGATTTCGAGTCGCGGCCAGGACATTGCCTCACCCTTCTTGAGAGCAATTTCAACTTTTGTGCCCATCAGTTTGATCACAGAAGCCTCCGGAACCACAGTCTGTGGATGAAAGTCAAAAGGTTAGTACGTGTTAGCAAAAATAAGAAACTACATGGCGCGAATAGTTCCACTTACTCCACACAATTCGAAAGTTTTGTCGAACCGCTGTCTGTCCGAACCAAACTCGAAAGTGGCGTGAAGTCGCACTCGGTTTGCAGTGACATTGACCGATTCGGGGATAACAGCTTTGGCATAGACTGTGATGATTACTTGTCCAGGTAGTTGGAACCAATCGTGCCGACAGGTTGCCTGGGCGGCGATTGAGACGGCTAAATTTGTGGCTCGATTCCTTGTCCGGTAGTTGGAACCAATCGTGCCGACAGGTTGCCTGGGCGGCGATTGAGACGGCTAAATTTGTGGCTCGAGCGGCCTGAAAACAAGAATCAGCAGTCTCATGAGTAACATAATGAGTGTCAAAATTAGGAAAACACGTAGATTTAGTGTCCAACGCATACACAAATCAGCACCAAAGAATTCGCATTCTAATGCGGCCTAGTGGGGCAAAAGAAAGATGGTCAGTGGGACGAACAACTCCTCAATTTCTACTTGCCTACCTACAAACTGAACTTGCGCTGTATCATGAGAATTAAAAGGCCACCCGGGAGCCCCAAAGTGGGGTAAAAGAAAGATGGCCAGTGGGACGAACAACTCTTCAATTCCTACTTGCCTACCTACAAACTGAACTTGAACATAAGAATTAAAAGGCCACCCGGGAGCCCCAAAACCCACTATGCGTCTACGAATGTGATCCAAGGTGTGCCACCTGAGATCAACAGACATAATCAAGGTAAACGCTGACACTCCACTCAACGATACTGTAATCCTTACATCGATGATCATTAACAGCAAAACTCTAACTGAGCAATGTCCTACACCATCATTTTGAATGAGATAGCGGATGTTACCCTCATTTTTGTGAAACACGATCACCCTATTCTTCATGGGGACCTGGGCAATTCAAAAGGACTACTAACCCTACAACTGACCTTCCATGGAACGACAGAGCTTGATATTAACCACAAAAACTAAGCCAAACGCCGGTGAGCCCACGTCCCACGTTGTACCACATGAGTTTCCGTATTACACACGAGACATGAGACCACCCTTTTGTTAGAAAAGTTCAAACGTGAAGTGAACTGGGCAGTACCAGGAATGCGCATTGAAAGTAACCGGTCGAGTTAAACTTGGATTTTGAAGATTTCAGCTTATCAGATCCAAACAAAAATCATAACTTATTTGTAAAAATCTGAAGTCCATGATGCGTAGCGGTGCGGTTGAAAAAGTCCTTTTAATCAATGACAATGTCTTCAGCATCGTGAACTGACACCTATGTGGAGGTCACTATTAAGGGAACAAACTGAAGGGATGAACAAAACCACAACACAGCTGTTAAGAGCTTTTGGACTGATGTGAAGACATCGTTTTTCCCAAAACTCAAGTATTCGCTCTATCGATTTCGGTCTGAGAAAGTCTGGTTGAGCAGTACAACGAGAAGTTGTACCCCATCTCTTTGATTGCGCGAACCGGTTGCAGCAGAGCTGCGTAACTATGGCAGAATCGGAGAGCACTTCCTACATTCATAACGGTGGTAGTGGTGTTCGCTCGTCGGCGGAGGCTGCGTAATGTCGTTCTAAGACAATGATTGTCGTGATATGGCGCGGCGTACTGTGTTCAGTACATACGTCTTATACCATTTCCATGCGTAAATCAACAACCTGCCCACCTAATTTCATCACCGTGCGGCAAATCAGCTGATTCCCATATACGTGGTAGATTACCATTATCATCATCAAGGACAGCAACATCAGTGTTGTCACTGATGCTTCACTGCCGTACAACCATAAGGTTCGTTTACTTTATATAAATATATATATACACAATCGCAT